ATAGAAACATCAATGATGAGAGAGAATCATTGATCGGCTGCCTCCTGCACGCCCCCTATTGGGGATCGAGCCCGCAATCCGAGCATGTGCCCTTGACCGGAATCAAACCCGGGACCTTCCAGTCCACAGTCCAATGCTCTAGCCACTGAGCCAAACCAGCTAGGGCAACAGTGTACAGTCTTCAGTGGAAAGGGAAAGTGGTTCTTAGTCATTGTTATTTTAGCAACAAAGATTCTATCATTGTTATTTTAGCAGCCAAGATTCCGTCTGTGCATAGAGACTGAGAAAACACCAAGAGAAGGATGGGTAATGGTGGGAGGCAAAGGCACTGCTCAGTGCTTTCAGCAAGTCGTCCTAGTTCATGTTCTCAAATAACTTAAAATCCCAGCTTTATATCCAATGAACGAGTGAAAGCATATGGTTCTGAACTTTGTCTGACTTGAAACCTATGTAACCTTATTAACCATTGTCACTCCAATAAATTTAATTTAAAAAATAACTTAAAATTCCAGATTTCAGCAGGATTTCAAACCGTTAGGATCTCACCCACTGCTTTATCTTTGCTTCATAATGAGTGAAGACAATGAAATGGTATTTAGTGTATTTGACTACTGGGGATTCAGGGAATCATGGACTTGGGAAGTTCAGTGAACGGACTGTCACTCACTGTGTCAACACTGGGTCTTTTTGTGTGGATATAGCACTTATCACACTGCACCGTAAATACTGAAGCCCTTCACCCCTCGCCACTAAGCCACGCTCCTCAGCTTGTCTGTGTGTGTATCCGCGGCACCTAGCACAGTGTCTGGCACATCAGATAGTGAAAATCGGTTAAGTAAAAACTCGTACCTGGAGATTCAGATAAATTGGAAATCAAAAGTGGATTCTGGAGTTTTTTGACATTAGTATGTGAAGCCTACTTTGACATTTTACCCCAAATTAGTTGTGGTTTTAAAGAGTGGTACAGATAAAGTCGATTGGTTGGGTATGAATGAGAAATCCCTGCATGAGAGGAAAGTTGCACTTCTATTTTTTTCAGGAGAAATTGTGTTCTGAAGGTTTTTACGTCAGAACATTAATCCATTTTTGAATATAAATAAGAATTGTATAAAATAAGAAGGATGGCATAAAAATAAGCAGATAAAGGAATCGGTGGGAAGAATGCACTTAAAAAAAACTATGATTGGTAGAAAAAGCGAAAATAGCAGAATTAGACTGCATTTTGCGAGACCACACGAGAAGAACATAGGAAAGGTCTTCGAAGTGTTGCACGAAGGCCCTGCGGTCAGTTAGGGGCTTGTGGGAGAGCCCTCTGCTGCTCGAGCTCGTCTTGGCAGCGAGTCACGGAGCCCTTTAGTTCCTTTACACCAGTCTGATGGATGCGGCAGGGCTCTAGCACTTAGGAAGAATTTGGCAAAAAGGGGGATTCTGAACGCCCTGCCCTTTTATGTCACTGTTTATTGTTCTCCCAGAGTATATTTTCTTACCCCTTTCTGCAACCAGTACTGACGGGTGCTGGGGGAGGAGGCCCTCACAGTGAAAAGGGCACAGTTCCTTTTATTATAACAAGGAGACAGATACTTAGTGTTTGGGTATTTAAGTTACATAATAAAAATGTGTGTAGATTCTATCGCAGCAGCTGAGGGAATAGGGGGGCGGAGAAGGGTGTGCTCTTTGATTTGGATCTAGAACAGTCACCAAGGTTGACGACGAAGGGACATGCCGGACATGCCGGTAGAGGGAAAACTGGATCAACAGCAACATGCAGTCGGAGTGCGAGGCCTGCTCCAGGAGAGAGATGTAGTTTGGTGCGGTGTTACAGTAGTGAGGGTTTTCTCCACCAGGGGTCACTTTTATTATTGGGTTCCCAGGGACTCAAATGAGATTAGGTTTTTTTTGTAGGGGGGGGGGGGGGGGGGGGGGGGGATGAACTGCACGTATTAGTATTAATATTTTTCTTTCCCAGCATCAATCCTGATTTTAATCAGTTATCCTTAATAATTTAGTATTCATAAAAATAATAGAAATTATGTAGATTTCTATAACAGTTGTGATGCTGATGAACAGCTGGAGAGCAGTCTTTATTTCACATGCCAACTCTGTCTGGTCACAACTCCCTGGAACACTTGTGAATGTTCTGAGGCTTGTCTGGATTCAGTGGGAAAGATGATAAATTTGATAGTGATTTCTCCCATGGGCCCAGAAGGGTGTGGGACCTTATGTGCCACATTTGCTACTTCTGCTATGAACCCGTAAGTGTTGTTTATTTTTTACCGATCCCTTAATTTCAGCTGTTCCATACCCTATTTATGGCCAAGGTTGATTACACACCAGATGTATTTAATTCTAGTGCTGTGCCCATCTGACACATGGTGTTATCAACAACCAAGCAGATTAACACAAAAACTAGAGATGATGTAATTGTAGCCAGAAACTGAGCACTTGACATTTTAACTGAGCTTGTGCAGATTCATCATGGGTAAGCGGAGCATTTTGAGATAGTCACAGCACAAAGACCTCCTTGCATCTTCTCATAGACTTTAGGGGAGGTACTGCCTGTAGGTAAGAAGCCTGTCTGGGGCATCGTAGGGAGAATGTTTCGGAGCCTGGAACACAGTCTGGGATCACATGGTGAACAACCCTTTAAGCTGTGTTCAGGGATTTGAAGTTCATGTATTGAATAGTTGCCAGAGGCTTCAAAGTGGAGAAGTCACACCAGTCTGATGTTTGATTCAGAAAGGAAATTCTGGGCACAGTTTTGAGGATGGTTGGGGAAGGCAGGAAAGCACTGGTGACTGAACTGATTATTTCCGTCTTATTCTGGAATCTCATCATTCCTCTTTGGGAACTTAAAACTCTCTTCGCAAATGCAGAAATTCAAATAGGTCAGGGGATCCTGTCTCTCCTTGAAAATCTGTGGTCACAGCTTCCTTCTTTTTTCCACTGTTGACTGTCTTTCCTCATCTTCCTTTCATTCAAGCTGTCGGAGACGGACATGTACATCAGCACACGTACTGGGACTGGTCCTGGGTGGACAATGCACTTAGCCTCAGAGCTGAGGGCTCTGCGTTCTTCTTCCTGGAACTTTGTGTGGCATTTGATGCTCTTGACCGTGCAGTTAAGATATTCTCCCCTGGCTCCCTTGATGCAGTGCTCTCATGCTTCTCCTGCCTTTCTAGCCATTTCTCTTGGGTCTTTAGAGTCTTTTTTTCCTCTGCCTACACCTTAAACATTGCTTTTCCTTCAAGTTTTATCCTTCTGGTACTCTTTTCTAAGCTTTGCCTAATGAAACTTAACTAAATCCTTGACAGCTCTAAAATCTCTGTGTTCTCTAAGGTCATATTTTCAGTTGTCTCTCATCTGTAGAACAGGCGCCCCAAATTAAACATGTCTGAAATCAGTCTTGTTAATCTTGGTTAAAGCAGAAATTTAAAAATACAATGTAATTATGACTCAGACCAATACAAAATGAACATGCACCAGATTTTAACTCATTAATGAATGAGGGAACCAGTAAGATATTAAAATTGGTTCAAAAGTGAAAAAAATGCCACACACTTATAGTTTGTAGACAAGGGCTGCTGACCCGCCTATAAAACTGGCCATTGTGACAAGGCAATGGTCAGCTGCATTACACCAGACACAGTTTGTCTTTCTGTGAACAAGAAGTATTTGCATGACTTCCAGTTTTCTGCAAGTTAGTTCTGTCTCTACAAAGTTAAAATAGACTTTTCAAAGACAAAGGTGTACCCCTCCTTCAGGACTAGATAACCCCTGGAGACTCCAAGAATTGGCAAGATGTCTCATAATTAATTTTCTCCCCATTTCAAAATTTTCCACAATTTCCCCTCGAATCTTCTCCAGATTTGCTGTCTTCATCCTCTTTTCTTTATCTTAAGAGTAACATGGTCCACGCAGTAACTATAATTAAAAACTTCACTGTCATGCTCCACATAATTAATCACTAAGTCCTATTCATTCTACTTCTTAGTCTCTAAAACCTGTTTTTCCCTCATCCCATTCTTTACAATACTATCAGTTATCTTTCAAAAGTACATACTTCTTTCTTCTCAATGCCATTGGTCTCATACTTGAAAACATTTTATTTTTGACTAGCACAGTCAATAACAGCCTAACACCTTAGCATGGCATCTCCGATCCTCTCCCGTTCTTACCCACACTTACCTTCCTGGCACATTGGCCACTCCCTTCTTTCTGAACTTCCCCAGTGCTCCAGCTTCTCTAAATCTGCTGTATCCTTTGATTCTTCTGCACCTAACACTTGCTGTTCTCTGTACCTGGAGCAGGTTTTACCACGCTTTCCTTGCTTTTCAAAATCAGCACTCACTCTGCCTCTTCTGTCACTCCCATTACCAGTGGCCTCGGGCAGGGTCAGTCCTGGATTCCTTTGCACATCAAATTGTGCTTTTCTTGCTCACTAGAGGCTTCTCGGTGGGAGAGTTCCTGAGCCCTGGGCCTTATCTTACTGGTTTATTTACCCTCTTTTGAGTTCAACACAAGGCTTAATGCCTTGCATAATAATTTGCTGAATTGAAAATAAAGTTTTTAAAAGCTCAGTTAACCAAGTTGATGATGGTACTACGCTAGTCATTGAAACACAGAGGTATAGATTTAGGTTTGGAGCATGTTGAATTTGGACATTTTTGTTACATTCAGGAAATGTCCAGGAGATACTTGAAAATAGGTGGACACAGGAAGGACAGGTGTGAGTGGATTATATATATGTGATGCTATGAGTCATAGGAGTTGTTGAGATCAGATGTAGACTGAGAAGAGAAGACACAGTGGCTAGTGGGCAGGGAACAAGAAGAAAAATGAAACTGATAGTAGTTAATTTTCATCATCTTTAGTAGGATGTAATGGCCTGGAAAAAAAAATTTAGGGTAACAGATTTTTTTTTTTTAAAAAAAGGATCATTTGTGTGTATTTCTTTGAAAAAAGAATTAATACATATTTTTAAGACCAAACAAAATATTACTATGTTTTCATACATTATTGATTCCTGGCCTTTACTATCCTAAAATGGTTTTTACTGTCTGTGTAATGGAAACTTTTTAATGTAAAACTGCTGCAATATCAAATTATTGCAATTTATGTTTCTTAAGATTAAACAATTATTTCTCTCAAGGGCAAGAAATAATATATTTTTGCCTCTGGGGCGGGGGGACTGATCTTTTCCTAAGAGAAGGAAGGATGCAGTACTTTCTTTGCTTGTGGGTTTCCTTTTGTTCACTTTTGATCTAGATATTGGTGGTTATGTTCCAGTCCTCCTGCATATGCCCAAGAGGATTGGGAGTGGCGTGGACACCAGCAGCAGCACTTTTTTCCTGTAGAGATTAGAAACCAGGAGCTTGTTGCCCAGCTTGCAAAGGCTCAGGACAGAGAGGAGGAAGAAACAAGTATAAAGGTTTTGGTTTTGGAAAGAAGTTGGAATCTTCCTGACCCTGGGACCTTAAGATCCACAAAATTGCTGAAAGAAAAAGTACTACTTGTTGAAAGGTAAGATATTCAACTGTTTTAAGGTTTAAGCTATTTAAGCCACAGTAGCATACTCTCATAAGCTATGACATCAAGCAGTTGTGTCTGCTCAGCTGAAGTTTTTTGTGACATAATCCCGCATCCAGCCTTCCTGGTGAGATGGAGACCTGTGTGGCTGGGAGATGTGTATAGTGAGTTACAAGGAGTTACAAAATGTCACTCTTTTTTAAAATGATAGTTCCTGAGTGCCAGGCATTGTGCTAGGTCTTGGATATACAGAGATCACTGAGTCACCCTACTGATCTTCTAGAAGTTCTTACTCCAGGAAAAGAAAAAAACTGGTGATTACAGTGTGATAAGTGCTATAATAAATAGGTGATGTGTGTGATAAGGTGGTCTAACTCTGTCTGAAGCAGTAACATTTGTGTCCTAAAGGATTAATAGGAGCTCATGAGGTTGGAAAAAAGGGATGGGCATTTGAGTTTGAATTCTGTGTTCAAAGACAGGTCTGAGAGAGCATGCTGGATTGGAAAAACACACTAAATTCCAGGAATTACTATCTGACTGTTTGCTGTGGACAGAAGAGGGGAGAGTGATGAGGTGTTGCTTGGTAAGATAGGGCCAGGTATGGAGGCCTTATTGGTTGCCAAGGAAATTTTAACTTAACCTGATTAGCCCTGGAGATTTTTTTTTAAATGTGGGAGTATCTTAGTTTCAAAATACATAGGAGAAAAAAATATATATATGGTGTTAAAATAAGTATGTACCTGTAGCTCTCTAACTGGGTTCTAGTCTCTGTCTTTTCTTTTTTGCTAATATTCCTGGTATCCTTGTGTGCTTACTAGGTTGATTCTAAACTTTGTGGGTTACTAACGAGTAGGATTTTGACTTAGACCGTTGAGAGCTCCTAACTCTCCAATTTGTGCCAACCTTGAACACCTGCTAAAGTACATTATGCCTCAGCCTAAAGTCACTTTCTTCGTTCTGAGGGAAAGCTATAAACAGTCAAGATTCTGGCCGGTTAATGCTATAACAAGGAGGTGGCCAACCTTCTTGTCTCTAATCATGACCAAAAGTGGGTCATAAATTTATGGTGACTCCAGGGAAAAGAAAACCATCTAAGAGAAGTCAGACTTGGCCCTGAATGAAGCCTTTGCAGGAATGAGGTGGTTTGAGGGCTTGTTTGTGGGCTCTGAGTAGACTCTATAGGTTGCAGTGGAGAGACCAGACACAAGGTCTAGGTTTTGGAGTTGCTGGTTGGAGAGCATTGAGTGACCATCCTGTTAGAGTAGCTCAGGACTTGATGATGTCACACATCTAGGGACCAGTGGTAAGATGGTGACCCTCCGGGAAGATGTGGGTGACATGCTTGAGGGAGGCTGCATTCTGTGGAATGTGACCTTCACTAAGACAAGAGAACAAAGAAGAAAGGATAACTATTGGAGGTATGACATTCACATAGTGGATTTCAGCCACACGGAGACCAGAAGGACAGCCAGGCTGGGGAAGGGCCCATGTAGATAGTGATGCTGGAGGCTTTAGGAATCTGATCTCAGTGTGGCAGTCAATTTCAAAATTACCTCTCATCTGGTCGGAGAAGAATCACGTGTGAAGAAATACATTTTTAAAGGGCATCTGCCAAGATTGGGAGGCTGAGTTAAAAGCCACGGATTTCAGGCCAAACGCAGAGCATTTCTATAACATTAGCCCCAAAAGCAAAAAAAAAAAAAAAAAAAAAAAAAAAAAAAAAAAGTGGCAATTGCCACAAGAAAATATATATATATTTTTTTATAGAAATGAACATATGAGGAGTGAATTTGAAAATAATAACAGCCCTTCTTATATCGCACACAGTTCTCATCTTGGTCCTCTGTAGTGTCATGGGGACTTTAAGTATAGCTATATCTAACCATACTAGGTACTTAGTTTATCTAATTTCAAATTCTAGTCAGAAGTTGAAAATACTTTGAATGTAATGAAAGATTTGTCACTGAAATTATGCTCATTCAACTTCAGAAATCTTAATAGAAAATCAATGACTTTAATGGCTACAGTGAAGGTTTTTGTCATAGCAAACTTCTTATTTGAAATCTATGAAACTACATTTGGAGGACTCAGAAGGAGACCCTGAACAGACCCCAGGACCTCTGTTTGGTAGCAGAGCACCAGGTGCAGATTTTGAAATGTCTTTGCCTAAGAATCTGTAACTTTATGGATGTTGAATAATTCATCTAAAAAAGAAATCCTCTAGGTGAAAAAGATCTTTGTCTTCATAATGGTTTCTGTGTACTCACTTATAGAGTAAAGAATTTGTTGTGCTTTTAGTTTTTAACATTTTTTTAGACACAAGACAAAATAGGTTTCCTGTGTGGTAAAAGCAATTCATAACCTAGTTTAGTAGCTCTTCAACCAATGTAGCTCAATAAAAGATTGGCATTTATCCCTGTTGGAAATTGATTAAAATTATGCAAGGTTTTAAGAAATGTTTTATTTGTGAACATTTGTAAACAGAGCAGCATTTCAGAGTGTTAATTATTTTCAACATGTTTATATGTTGCCTTGTTTATGAACTGGGCTGTGACAAGATTTGTAATAGTAAAGTACTGTGTATTTGTAACATGATTTTATATAATGTGTTATTTGATATTCAAAACAACACTGTAAGAGCAGTATTATCTCTATTTTACAAAAAAAAAAAAAAAAAAAAGGCTGAAAATGTCACCCAGAGTCACAAAGCTAGACTTGGACCACCATTCTGCATAGATGTTTCTTTGAGATGAGCATAATTCAGTTTTATAGGCACAGACTGGCTTCATCTGCTTTTTGTTCTCTTAATCATTGCTTTCAACAGAAAGCCTTCTACCTAAGGCTGGAAAATGATTGTAAATATTTACAATAGAAACAAACATTTTTTCCCATCAACAGTTATTGAGAGTAGGTGTCAACATGCTCTTCCGTTATAAGAACACAGAGACATCCTTAGTAGCACAACACTGGCTAAAAAGGCATCACTAATTGTTATTAAAGTGTTTTTATTTTTCTAGGAGGACTAACAGTACTCAAGAATTTAGGGAGATATTTTTTATTATACTTTATAGCTAACATTAAAGTTCTGGAAACACATTAATGTGCCTTTGAAGAGGGATGGGAAATTTTTAATAAATATATTTTTATTATTGATTTCAGAGAGGAAGGGAGAGAGAGAGAGAGAGAGAGAGAGAGAGAGAAACATCAATGATGAGAGAGAATCATTGATCGGCTGCCTCCTGCATGACCCCTACTGGGGAACAAGCCTGCAACCCAGGGATGTGCCCCGACCGGGAATCGAACTGTGACCTCCTGGTTAATAGGTAGATGCTCAACCACTGAGCCACACCAGCGGGGCGGAAATTTTTTGATTTTGACGGTGCTTTTACTCAGATTAACCTTACATAATTAAAAAACTCTAGATTTGACTTAAAAGATTATAAACTGAGGCCATTTTAGGAAATGTCTGTGAAATTGGACATCTTGTTATTTTACAGGATGAAGAAACACGAAAAGACTATGACTACATGCTGGATCACCCAGAGGAATACTACAGCCATTACTATCACTACTACCGCAGGCGCCTGGCCCCCAGAGTGGACGTCAGACTTGTGATTCTGGTCAGTGTGTGTGCCATCTCGGTGTTTCAGGTGTGTATTGGTGGATAGGTGTGTCTGTGTATGTGCTACCAGTGGTTCTCAACCTTCCTAATGCCGCGACCCTTTAATACAGTTCCTCATGTTGTGGTGACCCCAACCATAAAATTATTTTCGTTGCTACTTCATAACTGTAATTTTGCTACTGTTATGAATCGTAATGTAAATATCTGATATGCAGGATGTATTTAGGCGACCCCTGTGAAAGGGTCATTCGACCCCCAAAAGGGGTCTCGACCCACAGGTTGAGAACCGCTGTAGAGTGTACACTGCCTGGGGCTAGTCATTAGAACTGAACTAGAGCCATGGCCCATATGGCTCAGTTGGTTGGGCATCATCCCATGCACTGAGAGGTGGCCAGTTCGATTCCCTGTCAGGGCATATGTCCGGGTTGCGGGCTTGATCCCCAGTAGGGGATGTGCAGGAGGCAGCCAGTTGATGTTTCTCTCCCTTCCCCTCAACCACTGAGCCATGCCGGTCAGGCTATATGCTGAGTTCTTAAAACAAGTTCCTTACCAGTTAGTTTTGCCATTTAACGCTTATTTCAGTAAGTAGACTGTACTCTTGAGAGAGAACTAGAGCGAGATTTCTTAATAGTGAAGTAGGGAAGAGCCAGATAGTAAAGATGTGAGGTCGCAGGTGTGTGATTCCATTGATCTAACTAACCTCTCATCTTGGGTATCTCCTGTCTGATTTAATGGCTTTTTGGCTCAGCTTAGGGCTTACCTGACTTACCCAGCCTTGTACATAGAGGCATTATTCAGTTGTATCTTTTACTTGCAGTGTAAGGTTATTGAGGTCCCTGTTTTTAATGAGAATGGATTTTGGGGAGGGGTGGTGCTCACCAAGATGAATTCTGGTAATAAAAATCACCCATTTTTATTTGTTAAATATTCTAGTTTTTCAGCTGGTGGAATAGCTACGACAAGGCGATCAACTACCTGGCCACAGTGCCCAAGTACCGCATCCAAGCCATGGAGATTGCTAAAGAGCAGGGGCTGCTCAGAAAAGCCAAAGAGAAGGGCAGAAACAAGAAATCCAAAGAGGAAATTCGTGATGAGGAGGAGAACATTATAAAGAACATTATAAAGAGTAAAGTAGATATAAAGGGAGGCTATCAAAAACCCCAGATACGCGATCTTCTCCTGTTTCAAATTCTCTTAGCTCCTGTTCACCTGTGCTCATATATAGTCTGGTACTGCCGGTGGGTCTATAATTTCAATATCAAAGGCAAAGAGTATGGGGAAGAAGAAAGACTATATCTCATACGTAAATCTATGAAGATGTCAAAGTCTCAGTTTGATAGTCTAGAAGATCATCAAAAAGAAACTTTTCTTAAAAGGGAGCTCTGGATAAAGGAGAATTATGAGGTGAGTAACAAGTCTTCTGTGATTTTTATGTCACCTTCCATACCAAGGTAAAATTAGTTGTGTGATAAGGATCACAGAAGTGCACTCAAATTTCTGAAATCCAAGAGCTAAATAATGAATGCACATCTTACTTTTACCCTGGCCAGTGTAGCTCAGTTGGTTAGAGTATCGTCCTATGCACTGAAAGGTGGTATGTCAGGGCACAGACCTAAGTTGCTGGTTTGATCCACAGTTGGGGCTTTTACAGGCGACAACGGATTGATGTTTCTCTCTCACATTGATGTCTCTCTCTCCCCTCTCTTTTCCTTCCCCTCTAAAAATTAGTGAACTTGTCCTTGGGTGAGGATTTTTTAAAAAAGGTCTTTTATTGAAAGTATGACTATATTTGGTAGTGGGACAGTGGATTTTTAAAAAATATATATTTCTTTATTGATTTCAGAGAGGATGGGAGAGGGAGAGAGAGATAGAAACATCAATGATGAGAGAGAATCATTGATGGGCTGCCTCCTGCACAACCCCTCCTGAGGATCAAGCCTGCAACCCGGGCATGTGCCCTTGGCCGGAATTGAACCCGGTACCCTTCAGTCTGCAGGCCAAACTGAGCCAAACTGGCTAGGGTGGGACAGTGGATTTTTAATCTGTAATTTGTTTTTTTAAAAGATAAATTTTAAATACTTTGATGCTGAAAATGTTAAGGATGGTCTAATTTGTTGTGTTTAAGTAGAATGAGGTGATAATGTATGTTTGCAAGGGTGTCACAACAACTCTCTGTTAACTGCACTAGCTAAAATTTGGTCTTCCCCAAATTTCCTTCCAGTCATGTAAACTTAGCCACGGAGATTAAAAAAACAAAACACAGAGAGAGGGTATAAAAGATGGAAATTTTGTTTAAATAGCTTCATTCCAAACAAAATGAGCACAGACTCTTCTACATAATAACTAACATATGTATGAAAAGTTACTTTTATTTTTAAATTAAATTGACTTACTATGTACCTCGAACTGTGGGCATTTTAATAACTGTATATTCTACAGTTGTCAGCTACAACAGTGACTTTGAGGTGATCAGCTGCGGAGCTAAAGTCTTAAAGCAACTAGTCATCTCACCATAATATGTTAGGTTTGGGGTAAAATTACTTGGTTAATGTATTAAATATAGGAATAAAAAACAGTGAAATCTTCCTAAAAAATCTGAACTATAATTGTTTTTTTAGTTTCAGAGACATTCCTTTTTATGTGTCATATTCTAAATAGATTTTTCTAAAAGTAAAGCTTCAGTCTGAATTATATTTAAGTAACTTAACTTGCTGAAAATTGCCAGAATGTTTTTGCAAGTAATTATATTCAGCCTGATTATCACTAACATAAAAATGGAAGGTAGCATACTATTTTGCTCCTAAATTTTCTGAAAAGTTTTCTTTTTAAAGTAGGTTAAGCAGTCTAATTCACAAAACTGTCTTTCATAGAGTACTATTCTGGGCTTAATTATCCTATATAATAAAAGCCTAATATGCTAAGTGTCTGGTCGTCCAGTCGGCTGTTCAACCAATCAAAGCGTAATATGCTAATGATATACTTAGGCTGCTCAACTGCTCGCTATGATGTGCACTGACCACCAGGGGACAGATGCTCTGACCGGTAGGTTAGCCTGCTGCTGGGGTCCAGCCGATAGGGACTGAGTGAGACAGGCCGGACACACCTGGAACCCTCCCGTGGTCCTTCCCTGGCTGGCCAACCTCCCACGTCCCTCCCCTGCCCTGATCGTGCACTGGTGGGGTCCCTTGGCCTGGCCTGTGCCCTCTCGCAATCCAGGCTGAGGGGATCCCACCTCCTCCCGAGTGCACAAATTTCGTGCACCGGGCCTCTAGTGTTATTATATGAGATTATATATATTTGGTCATTACTTCCTAAATTTGGAAGTAGAATAATTTCTTTGTAAAATTTGATATAACTCTGAAACTGGTTATGAAAACTTGTCCATTTAATGTCAGTTGACATCCACTGAAAGTTACAGAGATGCATATATTTTGTTCTTAATCCATGTGGTTTATTTAACCTTCTTTGGTAACTTTAGTAAAATATTTTGAAAAACCAATAATTATTTTTGAAGATAAAAGTAGATTGGATGTAAGTTCAATTTGGAGACAAATGTATATACCAGGTCATTTTGTTCCTTGGTTAGGATCAACAAATACCGAAAGCCACCAGTTAAATTTACAGAAAAATACGTTAAAAAAATGAAGTGTGATTCTAAATATTGGACATTAATTGCAGAGAGGGAATGTTTAAGTCCTTTAAACTCAGCTTGTGTATGATTTTAATGAGGGCTAGTCCTTGTACAAGCTGTTCTTTAGTATTTAACACTGAATGTTCAAGTGCTTAACTGCTTAGTATTTTTAGTGCATGGTCTTCAGAAGACAAACCAATACATTCATTGTACACTTTTATCTAAACTTATATTTGAAAAATGTAAATATGCCATAAAGCTTATGACAAATGCTTCCCTTTGGATTATAAAGTCAGCTAGTGTTTTTTATACTTACAGGTCTACAAACAAGAACAAGAAGAAGAGCTAAAGCAAAAATTGGCCAACAACCCTCGATGGAAGAGATACAGGAGATGGATGAGGAATGAAGGGCCCGGACGGCTAACATTTGTGGATGACTGAGGATTGCTGGAATGCTACTATGCCAAACCTTAATCGTGATATTTTCATAACTGAATTATTTTAGAAATGTTTCCCCTACTCCTCTGCAGTAACTAAAATTCCTTAAGTATTTGATTCAACCGAATAATGAAGAAATTTAAACTTTACCTTAAAACTTTATACATAAGACATTTATGATTGTTCAATTTTTATAATCTATTTGTGGATTTTGTTAAAAGATTTAACATGAAGATTTATAAGTTGCCATTTAAAATTTTATATGTTTGGTTAAAAGATTTGACATGAAAATTTATTAGATACCATTGACAATGTTTACGTGTTAAGTGCTTATTCTTCAAACGTGTTTCCGTATTCTCTGTTATAGTGCTACATTTTTCTGCTTTCGTGGCCTCTGATATTTTCACAAAGCATAAAACATTATAATAGCATTTCATTATATTATTCTGAGTGTCTTTCTAGACACAAACTTCAACAAAATGATTTCAATTATCACGTCATCTTCTTTATAGTCATTCTGGGATTGAAATATGTTCAGAATATATCTCCAGGAGAGTCCTCTAGAATGTCTTTCCACTCTTCCTCCCCAGTCATAGTATTCCTAAGAAGGTCATAAACTCTCCGGGAGAGTGACTCTGCGTTCATGTCCTTGTAGGATGATCTTGATTACAGTCATTATAGGACTATGACTTTTTTCAAACATGTTTCCAGAAGAGACCTTGTACAAAGGCCTTTTGTACCACAGTATTGCTTTTCACCCCCACTTCAATTTTTAAAAAGCGACGAAGCAGAAATAGTGTACTGAAAAGTTGTTAGTATATTATAAAGTCCTTGAGTGGTAAAAAAAAAAAAAAATCCATTGTACATGAATGCATTTACATACATTTGAACCAGAAAAAAAGAAGTGACTATGTGCTGTTCTTTCAATGAGATATAGACAATGAGATATGTTTTCACACATGTGGAAGTGAAAGTAATTCACACATAATTTGACTGAAGCATGATTTTCACCAAGGTATCAACGCACATGGGTGGTGGCGAATCAGTACTGCTGTTAAAGGGTTTATCCCATGCGTCATATGAATAAAATGGTTGCAATATGTCACGTTTGTTGGTATGACATTTTAAATCAAAGATTAACATACTGCTTTTGTTACATAACTTTTAAAGATTAGGATAGAAAGTAGATTATTATGAGAATTAAATAAGATAGGAGGAAAGTGCTGGCAAATATGAGTGCTCAGTAAATGTTTTCTTACCTTCAGAGGGAACAGGAACCATTCATTCTCATTTGTTAAAATCCAGGACGGGAGGGTGTCTACTGATGATTTAAAACCCCATGTTTCTTTCTTTTCTTTTTTTTAAAATATATTTTATTGATTTTTTACAGAGAGGAAGGGAGAGGGACAGAGAGCCAGAAACATCGATGAGAGAGAAACATCGATCAGCTGCCTCCTGCACACCCCCCACTGGGGATGTGCCCGCAACCAAGGCACACGCCCTTGACCGGAACCGAACCTGGGACCCTTCAGTCCGCAGGCCAACGCTCTATCCCCTGAGCCAAACCCGTTAGGGCACCCCATGTTTCTTTACTCTTTTAATAGGTGTTTTCTTTACTCTTTTAATAGGTATTTGAATTCCTCACCTTGTTCGAGGTGTAGTGCTGTGCTAGAGTGAAAAAAGCGATGCTTCTTAGGGTTGGAGTTGTGTGTTTTAAAAGCAGCTGCTGGCCTCTTGTTGTCTTGGGTACAAGGTGAAGCAGCTAAGATGACAACTCAGGAAAGAAACTTGCAGAGACATCAGAATAATCAGCTACTCACTAGTAGAAGGCCTACATTTACTGAAGGGACACTTTTAATGAGATAAACAGGCATGCTTGAAGGGTTGCTCAAGAGGACATCAAGTAGCCCTAAGTTCCACTGCCTCCAAAAGTCTCAAAATGCCCCTCAAGCGCTGGCCTGTGTGGCACAATGGTTGGAGCATCATCCTGTGCATTGCAAGGTTGTGGGTTCGATTCCTGGTTGGGGCACACCAGTGTTTCTCTTGCTTGCTCGCTCTCCCCCCTTCTGTCTCTAAAAATTTTAAAAAGAAAAAAAAAGCCCATGAAAATGTCTCTCTACAAACCTGGTGAATCAGGAGAGTTCTAAAAATGGGCATAAGGAAGTGAAATAATTTATGGTACATTGTTTCACACATGATAGTTGATGTGTTTTCCTGTTTCTTTTGAATCATTTTAGAAAACCAAAGGTATAATTGCTATTTTCATGTAACATGGGCAGAAACACCTTCCGGTTTCGTTTTTATGGAGAAGAGTGATTTTTAGCCCCTTTGCTGGGAAGATAACCCGCCGTTAGAAGGTCCATGGCAGAGGAGTGAGGAACTGCAGGTGACAGCGGGGAGGCAGGAAGCGTGCAGGACGCCGACGCGGCGCGGTCTTGCCTGTGTGTGGAACGCGGAGGCGCTGGGGTTCCCGGCAGTTCCCGACCCAACCGTCGCTATCGCTTACCTGGCTCCTCCCCGCGGGGATCGGGACCCGGGAGCGGCCGCAGGGCAAGAG